AATTCCACGGGTGGTGTCGTGGGGAAAAGGTCCGGGCTGGGAGGGAGGAGACCCGGACTTAGGCCCCCGGACCCTCTGACTGGCCCGGGGACCCGGAACCTGCTTCCCCATCTGTGCCATGAGGATAAAAATGTAAATCTCTGAGGACTAACAGCACCTGGGACTGAATGAGCGTCTTTGTTGGCCATGGAGGCGGATGCCCCAGGCGGAGGGGGCTGGGTCTGAGTTGCCCCAAGGGTCTGACACAGGCCCCGATGGTGACACAGCCAGAGAAGCAGCGGGCAGAGGGCGCCGGGCCAGGCGTGACTCACTGCCCCAGCGGCCCCTGGGGTTCACCCCGCGCATTTGTCACCCACAAGGCAGGTGGGTCTGGGCAGTTGTCCCCCGACACAGGGTCAGAGACACCCTGAAGGCCAGACTTGGCCAGGGAGCCAGAGGGGTCAGCCACCCAGTGCAGCCCCCGGGGGCCATGGGAACTCAGCCCAGCGGACACGGACACGTGACCACAGAGCGCTGCCCCAGGAAACCAGCCCCCCTTGAACTCACGCCTCCCCTGCAGGCCAGGACAGTGGCCAAGCCGGTCAGGCCTTGGGGCTCAGGCAGCAGGAGAGAGTCCCAGTGCTGGGCAACAGCCTGGAGCCATAGGCCGATCAAGACCTCAATGGGTGAGAGTGCTCAGGGCCTCGGGTTCCTGGTGCCTTTCCAGTGACGGATGGAAGGACAGGCCATGGCTCCCCGGTGCACTCACCACTGCTCCTAACAGAGGGCTGGGCTGGCCCGGGCGGTGGCAGTGACCACGTCGCTGTGGTGAGCCAGGCTCCATCCTCAGCACCCAGGACCTAGTGGCTCACGAAACCCTCTCAAGGTGCCCTTACCATCCTCATTTCAAAGAGGAGGCACAGAGAGGCTAGGACACCTGTCCAAGTTCACACAGCGGATGGAGCTGGGACAGAACCAAGCCGCCCCGAGCTCGCCCCGCCTGGTGCAGCCTCTCCCAGGGAACAGCTGAGCTGGGCGAAGGAGGAGCCGAGGTCTGGGATATGGGGGAAGGCTCTCTGCCCGGAGTCCCTACAGCATGTGGCTGTCACAGTTAATCCTAGTGGAGTTCAGGTCTCTCCACCCCCATTGCACAGCCTAAGGGATTGTAAGGCACTTGCTCAAGGTCACTTTTCGTATATATATATATACACACACACACACATATATACACATATACATATATATGTATTATTGATTTCAGAGAGGAAGGGAGAGGAGAGACAGAGAAACATCAATGATGAGAGAGAATCATTGAGCGGCTGCCTCCTGCACGCCCCACACTGGGATCAAGCTCGCAACCCGGGCATGTGCCCTGACTGGGAATCGAACCATTACCTCCTGGTTCAGAGGTCAACACTCAACCACTGAGCCAGGCCAACCAGGCTCAAGGTCACTTTTCAAGGATTTGAACTTAGTTCTAACTCAACCACCCCACAGCTTCAAAGACAAAGCCTTCAGCTGAGTAAGTCCGCTCTGTGCTGTGACTTATCGCCCCAAATTCCAGCAACAACCCTGCCCGGGGCGGCACTGGCGTCCCTGTGTGCAGGTAAGGACAGGGAGGCCCAGGAGGCTGGGAGGGTGGGCAGCAGTCCGGAGCCCCGCTGACCCCGGGGGCCTAGAGCGGTAAGGCCAGCGCTTCCCGGGGAGGAAGGCCAAGTTCTGCCGAGGACAGGAGGGAGGGACTGAGAGAAGACCGAGGCGGCTGGCCTCCCACTGCTGCTCACTCGGAGGTCGGCTAAGTGGCCCTGAGCCTGGGGAGCCGCATGGAGCCATTAGCTGCAGAACTGCAGCCTTTCAGGGACTGGAGCTGGGCTGGCTTCCGGGCAGTGAGGCCCCCACCCCAAGGCCGGCTCCCTCTAATGCAGAGGCCGCCCCGCTCTGCCGGCTCCTCCAGGGCTCGGCTTTGATCTCTGCCTGGAGCTGCCAAGCTCACCACAAACCGCCTGAGCCGTATCAGCCCAGGAACATGTGCCCACCCACAGGCCTCCCCACCAAAGCTCAAGTCAGGCTCGGGGGCCGAGGGGGGCTTCCCGAAGCCCAGGTGGCCCCAGCTCTCCTAGGTGGGAGGCCAGGGAAAGTCCCTGAGCTATTATAAGATATCCCGGGCCTCCGTGTGCCCACCTGGCCATGGGGAGACCGTGGTGAGGCTAGCATCTCTGCGGGCCACAGCAAGCCCATCGTCCTCACAACAGCTCCCAGGCAGATACTTTCCAGGTGAGGAAACGGAGGCAGTCGCCCAAGTCCACACACCCAGAGAGGAACAAAGCCAGGCTCTCCCCAGGCAAGCGGCCTTGCTCTCTCTGTGGGTCCTGGAGGATGTGGGCAGCAGCAGGGATGGGGTTCGAGACAAGGGCACCCAGCACAGACCTGGCCTGGCCCAGGAGCCCCCTCCCCCCTGAGGGGCCAGGAGAGCTCAGTGGACAAGAGCCCAGACTCTAGAGCCACCAACACGAGAGGTCACCCACAGGTGAGCCTCTTGCGCCTCAGTGTCCTCGTCTGTAGGTGGCTCCGCACCAACACCTGCCTCGTAGGAAGAAAGGTGCGCGCGGAGCACTGAGCCCCGGGGACCAGGCTCTGAGGGCCGGAGGGATGCCAGGGCAGGCTGGGACCGAGCAGGGGTCAGGAACTATGTGCCACGCTCCTCCCCGACCCGGGGTCCCTCTGCCCAGCTGCCCAGGCCTGACCCCAGAATCCAAAGGGCTCCCCAGAACCTCAGGGCTCCCAGTGGGGCATGAGACAGAGGGGGGAGGGCAGCACTGCAGAGGCAGAGCCAGCCAGAACCCGCTGAACCCGCCCCACCCACCCCACCCACCCTGTGTGAGAGGCCCCTTTGTGCCAACCCTGCTCCCTCCCCTCCGCCCCTGCCATCTGCCTGTCCCCAGGGGTCCCGGTCCCCCAGCTGCCAGGTTTGCTCACGTGACGCCCCCATCTGCTGTGAGTCAGAAGGAGGGGTCCGCAGAGCCCCTCGTTGGCGCTGGGGGTGCAGAGCCTGCTAAGCTCTGGGGGTGGTGGTGGTATTGGATTTGGGACTCTTTTGTCACCTTCCCCTCATGCCCCCACCCGCTCTGCCCCTGACTCTTCGCCCGTGCCATGTGGGAGCCCACCCACACCCCTGAAACAAGCACAGCTCCCACCACCCACACACTGTCCCCCCAGCACACACCATGAGCCCCACACCACACACCCGGCCCTCCCCGTCCTGCTGGGCTGCAGCCGGCCCTGTGTGCAGACCTGTGCAAGTCCCCCCACCATCCCCTCCCCGCAGGGCAGAGCAGAGCTGCCCACCTGGCGCTCAGCCACCAGGACATGCCCTGTGCCAGGTCTCCAGTGCCACCGCCTGCCCCATTCCCCCAGGCCCTCACTATTTCCACACCTTTCCCCACGCAGTTTCCTCTGCCAGGAATCCGCCCCCCCGCCCCTCACACGGGCACTTAAACCCTCTCTCCCTCCTTACCAGTCCCCAAGCCCAGCCCCGCGTCCTCCGCTGAGCCCCAGGCTCCGAGGCAGCAGCTCCCTCCGCCTCCTCCAGCTTATCTCACTCCTCAGCCTCAGAGCCCAACTGTCCTGTTTGTGTCCCTGACAAGGTGTGGGTGTCCCAGCCAGGCGACTGGCCCCTGCCCCGTGGCCCAGGGCAGCAACAGTGCAGGCTGCCTGGCCGGGCCTCTCCCCCACAGACCCTGCCTGGAGGGATGCCAAGGCAGGCTGGGACCGAGCAGGGGTCAGAAACATGACCTGACACCTCGGAGCCACGGGTGCAGGCAGCTATCATCACCTCATACGCCCATTTTGCAGCTGCAGCAACTGAGCCCCAGAGAGAGAGGCGAGGCAAGGAGGCGCGCGCTGCTATGACCACAGTGGGTCTCTTTCTCACAGTCCCTGCAGCTAACGTGGTCAGGTCTGGCCCCAAGAGCCAGTCTCACCTCTGCCGGCCTCAGTTCTGCGACCCAACTCAGCAGCCAGCAGCGGCTCTCACAGACAGACGGCTCTCACTGGCTCTCACAGACGGACGGATGACACTTCCCACTCAGGCTCCACCTCAAGGAACCAAGCCTCTGCCCTCAGGGTCCCCACAGGCCCCTGGGGCTGGCCCATGACTGTAAGACACCTATTCATCCCATTCACTGCCATGTCCCCCACCCCAGCAGAGTACCCGGCACACAGTAGGTGCTCAACAAATGTTTGTATGTGTAACTCCCTTGGCCCTCTGGAGCACAGAGACTATTGCTCCCCACCCAGCTCCAGGCCAGGGCTGCTCTAGGCAGGGAGGGGAAGTGGGAGCAGGGGTGGGGGGGGACAGGGGGGGGACCAAGAGGGGCCCTGCCTGGGCTCATGCCCCCCCCCAACTCCCTCCTGTGGGGCCCTGGGTGGGTGGGAGGGTGGGTGGGAAGGCCCTATCTGTGCCCCGCAGGCGGGAGCCGGGGGTCTGGTGGTTTAGCTGGCAGTGCGCTTCCCAGCCCTCAGCCTCTGCTTCCTCATCTATCTGCCCGGTTCCCACGCCAAGACCACCTCCTCCCAAGGACACCCGTGAGGACAAGCTCACTTGGGGGCCGGACCCAGCCCAGGCAGCTGCAGGTGACACTGCCCTCGAGGGCCGGGTGCCCAGCACCCCGCAGCCTCTCCCCGAGCCTGGACCCTGGCTCTCTCTCCCGCTCAGAGCCCGGCTCCCCTTCTGTGCCACGGGAGCAGGAGTAACTCATCTCACCGCCCAGGGAGCGGACCCGGCCTCCCGTGCCCAGTGAATATGCCACTCTGAGCCTCAGTTTCCCCAGCTAACACAGGACTAGTGGTTCTGAGAGGTTTCATCCCCTCAGGCCCCGTCCCCTTCCCAGGCATCTCCCTGTCCATCTACCCCCAACTGTAGAGACCCCCTTACAGCCATGCTCCTCTGGGCTCCCGCCCAGATACCAAGACCTCCCAAGACCCCATTCCACCCCATCCCCCCTCCCTCCTTGATCTGGTACCTGGTGCCAGGCGGGGGGTCCGGTAGGGTCAGGCAGCTGATCAGCCTTTCAAGATTCACCTCCAAGGATCAACCTGCCCCGGTCCTGCTGCGGAGGGAGCTGCTGCGTGTGTGGTGGCTCCCGGCCCCTCCTCGCAGGGCAGGGCGGGCAGGCAGCCAGTGTGGAGGAGGAGGAGCCTGGGGAAGTGCTGGGTGTTTGGTGGGGGGATGCCCCCTCCAGATGACTCCTCCCTCCTGTCTTCTCCCTCCTCCCTCCTCCCTAGCTGGGCTAGGGATGACGGACCATTAGTGAGTCATGGATTTCTCAGAGGGAGGCTGAGAAGGGGGCAGGGCTGGGAGCTGAGGCAGGGACCCTGGGGGATGCCTGTGACTCAGCACTGGGCAAGGGGGCACCGCAGCCTCACCCCTCGTTTGGGCAGATAGGTGCCCGGTTTCAGGGACAGACACCAGCCAGGGATAGCGCTGCCTCCTCACCCTCCATCTGCCGCTTCCCAGGGCTGTTCTCCCCAAAGTGCCCAGAGGCCAGGGTTGCTAGGGCAACGGGCACTTTGATGCTGCCCGCCTCCCCCCCACACCGCCAGGCCCAGGCGACAACTGCCCCTTCCTGAAGGAGTGTCCAGCCTCCTTGGCAGCCGACAGGAGCCGGCAATGACCAATGACCGGCAGAGCGGAAGGCACGGGGTTGGGGGGGGCGGATCAAGCGCCTGGCATGCAGCCAGCCAGTCCACGCACGACTGGCCACCTGACCTTGAGTCTCCCTGAGCCTCAGTCCTCCGAGCACAGGGACCCAGCGCAGTGCTCGCCAGGCACACACAGTGTCAACATCCCAGACGCAGGTTCTGGGCTCTGAGACGCCGGGGGCTTCTGGAAATGGCACCCCTTAGTCCATCTGTGAGGCCATAGAGGAAACTGAGGCCAAGTAGAACAGCATTCCTGGCGGCTCCAAAGCTCAGCGAGGGATCTGGGGATGGGCCGGTGCCCCGCCCCCTTGCTGGTCACTGTCCGCAGCTCGCTGGCTGCTGAGGTCCTGGGAGGCCTCGGATGGCGGTGGCCACCCCAAGGGGCGGGGCTCCCCACATTCCCTCATCCCACCGCGTGGGTCAGTGATTGCCAAGTCACAGGTGCCGTGAGGACTTCACATTATGGGGGTACGTAGCCACAACAGTGACACTAATGATGATGGTTACACTTACTGACCGTTTACTACCTTCCAGACTTTTCCCTCACGCGCTGCCATGGCGAGCACAGCGGTGAGGGGTGAGTGTCGCTCAGACCAGTGCCTGGTACCCGACAACCCTCAAGGCATAGCTGCTGTGAACGTGGTGATGAGGCAGGGAGAGCGCAGGACCGAGAAATGGAGCTCAGAGAAGGGAATGAAGTTGCCTAAGCCACACAGCTGGAAATGCCGAAGTTAGGACGGCCGCCCAGCGGTCTGGCTCCTGCTCACTCACAAGTGCAGCCTCCCCACATCTGGGCACATGGGGTGCTCAGGCCGCCTGCTGCAGCGTGAACGGGACTTTCTCAGGCAGCGGGGAAGGGGGGGGGCGCGGGGGATTGCTGCCGGGAGGAAGCCTGGTCATCAAGCTGCCTGGTGGGGTGTACAGCAAGGCCCCACCCAGAGCTTCCAGGAGGCAGCGCTGTGCTCTCCGGGTGTCAGCCCTGCTGTCCAGACTGTGGCTGATGCCCTGGCGGCAGGCGCGGTGGGCACTCGGCCTGTCCTCCCTCCCAGGGCTGCAGTGGGCACTCCCTCATTATCAGGGCCAGAGCCCCCAGTGTGGGCCGGGAACAGAGAGCAAAAGCAAGTTATCCAGGAAGAGATGGGGAGTCCCTTACATGCCGTGTCCCCAAGCAAGTCACCCCCTCTAAGCCTCTGCTTCCCCCAGGTCTGTCCTTCAGGGCTGAGCCACGGGCTAGGTGGGGCAGCATCAGCTGTTCCCTGCGATCCGGGCCAGCAGGGCAGCAATGACCCAACCACACCCCCGGAGGGTGCTGGCCAGCTGGGCACAGGTGGAGAGCTGGAGGTGCCACTCTCTGGGTGCCCAAGCCAGGGCCACAGAGACCTGGAGCCAGCTGCCACCTAGGAAAGGCCTGCGAGGCAGCCTGGCCAGGGCAGGAGTTGGCTTGCCAAGCTCTGGCTGCCCTTTCACCATCGGGCTTCTCAGAGACCTACTATGTGCAGGGCGAAGGTGGGGAGCAGGCCCCAGCTCCGAGGATGACTCACATTGGGGTGACACCAGTCAGTTATTGGCACCGTGGAGCTCCCAGAAGGCTCTGGGAGTCAAAGGACAGAATCCACATAAATGATCATTAATCACAACACTGCCCATCACTAGTCCTACTAAGCGGTTCACTTAGTAGGGTGCCGTGTAGGGTTCATTGTGTAAGGCACTGCTTGACATGGGTCATCCTAATTTCACCCTCCCAGCTCTGTGGCCGGGGTCCCACTGGTACGTTAGAAACCAGGTGACACAGCCCAGGCCGCACAGCTGGCGTGTGGCTGGGAGCACCCACTAAGTGCCAGGTCCTTCTAGGTTCTTCATATGTATCACAACAGTCACTGTCCCCACTTCACAGAAGAGGGGCAGGCACAGAGAGGGTGTGGCCTTTCAGGGATGGAGCCAGGGTTTGAACCAAGCCAGTTGGCCCCAGAGCCCCAGCTGGGTCTTGAAGGAGGGATTTTGATAAACAGAGACCAGCTGGAAGGGCATTCCAGGTGGAGGGAACAGCATCGGCAGAGGTGGAGAGGGGACTGGGACACGGGAGTCCGTCTTGGAAGGAGGTGGGATCTGGTTAGGGGAGTAGGGGCAGATTCTGGGGGATGTTGGAAGCGTGGAGTTTGCTTGGAATGGGGTTTCATCCAAGGCACTGGGAAACCAGGGAAGGTCTTTGGTCGGGAGGGGTGTGATCAGCACGCAAACGTGGCCCGCAGACCCTCAGCGTGGCCCGAGAACGTGTTGGAAACTCGGCTCCCGGTGGGCCCCAGGCCTGCTGAGTGAGTGTGTATTTGAACCAGATGCGCAGGGGACCCGGCATGGGATAGAACAGGAGGTGCCCTGGTCTGGACACCAGCGATGGTGGGCTAGGACGGTGGAGGGTCCAGCCGGGCCGCTGGAGAATATGGAAGCAGAGGGAGGCGCTTGGTCCAGAAAGCCAGAGCAGGGCGAGGACCCCACCTCCCACGCGCAGGTGAGAGGAAAAGATGCCAGAAACTGCCCTGAATAATGGGGGGGCTTAAGATGGGGTGCAGAGAAGAGGCTGCCCTTGGGCTCAGTGGAATGGGGGTACACCTGTGACATGTGGGGGAGCCTCTCAACAAGCAGCTGGATACACATTGCTGGGGCTCAGGGTGAAGGGCTGGAGTCCCCCAGGACGAGAGAAGGTCGTGAGCATTACTGGAGGAGGGGACAGTGGCCAGAGACAGGGTGGGGAGTGCAGAAAGGCCTTCATTTGATTTTATTGAGCTTCTACTATGTGCCGGGCGTGGCACTCAATGGTTTACAAGGCCACTCTGATTGCAAGATATATATATATAATATATCTCAGAGAGAAATGGAGAGGGAGAGAGAGATAGAAACACAATGATGAGAGAGAACCATGGATCGGCTGCTTCCTGTACACCCCACACTGGGGATCGAGCCTGCAACCCGGGCATACGGCCTGACTGGGACTCAAACTGCCACCTCCTGGTTCTCAGGTCAACACTCAACCACCGAGCCACGCCAGCCAGGCAGAAAGGCCTTCGTTTTAAAGGACGGAGGAGAAGGGGCCGCGCTGCCGCTGAGAAGTTGGAAGCCCAAACTCTGGACTCAGGCCAAGTGGCTTCCACTCCCAGCTCTGCCAGCTGGTGACTCAACTGCGGACCGTAGCAGCGCCACCAGGAATAGTAAACAAGGCCACGTCCGTAAATCTGATAAACCTCGCGGCCCAGGCACGAGTGAGCACCTGATGTGTCTGTGAGGGTTTCACGGTTCAGAGCATGTGTGGGCCCCAGGCCAGGGCGAGAAAACAGATCCACGGTGCCCGCTGTGCCCGAGGCCTGGGCAAGTGGAGGACTCCGCTCTGTTCCTGGAGGCCTCCCCTCCTCTGTCTCTGAGCCTCCGTTCAGGGCGGTGTGAGCCAGCCTGGCAGACAGTGCGGAGCTGTGCCCCCTGTGGGAGGGTCACAGCCAACCACTGCCTGCTGGGAGGTGAGTTTTTATTGGACAAGAGCAGCTCAAGTCCACGTTCTCTCCTTGCGAGCAGAGCGGCCTTGTAAACCATTGAGCACCACGCCCGGCACATAGTAGATGCTCGACAAATACTGAGCCAACGGCATGATGATTATCATAATGTCAACGCAAAAGCCCCCAAGCCCAGCACTCCAAGCTTACAAGCCCTTTCACGTCAGGATCTCTTCTACAAAACAGTCACGATCGGTCCCATTTCACAGAGGTGGAAACTGAGGCCCAGAGAGAGAACCTTCCCAAGGCTTCGCAGCAACGTCATCAGCAGAGTCAGCATTTGAACCCAGACCACTTGCTTTTCAACCAGTGCTCCCAGCCACCTTCCCGTTCGTTCATTCCCGTGGGAAAGATTCCTGGCCACAGGCCTGGTGGCAGCCACAGCCCCACAATAACGCCATCTCCCATCACACCCGCCCCAGGGCCCAGGGGGATGGCATTGCCCATGTGACTCAGCCACAGTCACAAAGGGAGCTGTGTGCCCTGCGCCCGAGGCCTGCCTCCCCCACCCTCCGCTCATCCCCCAACTGGAGAAGAAGCAGGGAGCCTGACGAATCCAAGACGTGGGGGGAGCGGGGGGGAAGCGTTGGCCATTAAAACGGGGCAAGTCTAACAGAGAGTCAAGCCCGGGCTTGGGGTGCAAGAAGTTCGTGCAGCTCCGATGATGGGATGGAACGCAAGGCCCAGGTCCAAGCCTGTTGTCTGATTCCTTATTTGGAGCTCCAAGGGCAGGCGCACCCTCATTGGCTCCCGCTGGGGTAGGGCCCAGGCAGGGACCCGGCCCACATTACCTGGATCAGATTTCAAAAGCACTGGGGCTTGGGAGAGCAAGTCACTCCCGGGCTGCTGGGCTCCTCTGTCCACACCTGTCTCCAGCTCTGACCTCTCTCCCCGCC